TGTGTATAAAGCATTTTTATACATGCATAATTTGAAGTGGACGCACCAAAATGGGACATATTTAATTGTGACACTTTTACACACAATATATCTTCAGATGGACTAAAGGTTGAACAGTCTGAATATAGGATTTTACAATGTTTAGTGTCAAAGTGATTACGAACATGATCCCATACAACTTGAAATAACATTGTTCAGTTTTATTTTCTATGAAAAACATTCAGAAATCCCTAAATATTCCTGTAACAAATATTAGCCAAGTTTAAGCACAAAACTGCTTCTCATAGCACAATTTTTCTTAAGGATAAGGTCTGGACTGTGTGGTGGCCATATGTTGTCACTATAGTATTTTACAATGTTTAGTGTCAAAGTGTATAATTCCACTCCATTATCTAAGCTTGAAATATGATCCTTTAAAGTAACCAGGCTGACTTGAAAAATTTATCCAAGTCTTTATATTCTTCTCTTGTTTTTATTTGTTCTTTAAAGCAGGAACAATCCTTTTATCTTTATATACAATATGGAACAATGGTCAAAAACTGTATCACTCCGTCTCTGTCTCTCTTTACAACCAGGATATGACGTGATCAGTCATTAATAAGCAAAGGCATAATTAAAGCATGCAGTAACAATCTTTTAATTGTAGACTGTAAATATGCAAAAAAAAAACAAATAATGATACCCATACATAATATTCTAAAATTTGCACAATATATATGGCTCTAACAAAGTGATTGTGAACATGATCACAAACAACTTGAAAAAAACGTCAATCAGTTTTATTTTCTACGAAAAACAGGCAAAAATCCCTACATATTCTTTTTAAGGATATTAGCTAAGTTTATTAACAAAACCGCTGCTCATAGCCCAAAGTTTCACAGTAGGGTTAAAGTCTAGACTGTGTGGTGCAGTAAATGTGTGGTGACTATAATATTTTGCAATGTTTAGTGTCAAAGCGATTGCAAACATAATCCCATACAACATCATTCAGTTTTATTTTCTATGAAAAACAGGCAGAAATTTCTAATTATTCTTGTAAAGGATATAAGCCAAAATTACCCACAAACTGCTGCTCATAGCCCAAATATTCTCAGTAGGGTTGAGGTCTGGACTGTGTGGTGGCCATAGTATGTGTGGTGACTATAGTATTTTACAATGTTTAGTGTCAAAGCGATTGCAAACATAATCCCATACAACATCATTCAGTTTTATTTTCTATGAAAAACAGGCAGAAATTTCTAATTATTCTTGTAAAGGATATAAGCCAAAATTACCCACAAACTGCTGCTCATAGCCCAAATATTCTCAGTAGGGTTGAGGTCTGGACTGTGTGGTGGCCATAGTATGTGTGGTGACTATAGTATTTTACAATGTTTAGTGTCAAAGCGATTGCGAACATGATCCCATACAACTTGAAAAAACGTCATTCAGTTTTATTTTCTATAAAACACAGGCATAAATCTATAATTATTCCTGTAAAGAATATTAGCCAAGTGTACCCATAAACTGCAGCTCATAGCATATCTTCTCTATAAAACCTAAAGATGGTTTGAGTGAAGATCAGAGTAGATCAGCAATTTGCATTTTCAAAGACAGATAACGCCTTTCTGATTCTGCCTTCACCATCATGACCAGACTACATGCCTAAAAGCATCCTGTGATTAACTGATGAGATATTTGATTTAAAGAGCTAAATTTGTCTTAAAGAGCAAAAAGAACTTAATAAAAGTAAAAAAAAGTTATAATAAGTCATTTCTTTTATCATTGTTTTATTCCTTTTATATGCCAGATATGCCAGAATATGTAAGCACAGATCAGAGGTTTAGAATGTTCATGCTCACACCTGACAGACCTGGTAGTCTCTTACAGTAACAGGTAATTACTGACCTCTAGTGTTTGAACAGGAGCAGAACATGATTGAGATTATATCCATGTATATTTTAGGTCTCTTTAGTATACAATAGTCATAAGACAATGTTAGTGTAATTTTGTAAACTGTAGTAAAATCATACTTGTTTTCTTCTTCTCCACCTCCTCCTCCTTTTTCTTCATCTTTTTTTAAGCTTTAGTATGTCAGTGCAGTGTGTGAAACTGGTAATGTGACCAAAGCCTGGTCATGAATCACCAAAACTTGCATCACCAAAATGAACAAAGACCTACATAACTGTCCTAGAACCAGATCTGCCAGACTGAGTAAACCATAATAGCAGGAACAAGAATCAGTTCATTGTTCTCAGGTTGACTATGTCTGATTGTTGAGATTTTCTTCTTAACGTCACAGTTTTTTCACTGTCAGTACTATTGGTAAATGAATGTCTCTTTGTTTTGTTTTTTTCAGTTTTTGTGTGCTTAACCTGTGCAGTAAATAACCACTTAAGGGTTTGACACTCTTTCAATGACTTTGAAAGGGATATATATTTATCTAGACTCGGCTAGATTATTGTATGCCCTTTATGTGGGTGTTAGCTATGCCTCCCTTACTTGGTGCAGAAAGCTGCTGCTTGTTTGCTGATGGGGACACGCAAACGGGTACACTCATACTGGCCTCTCTTCATTGGCTTCCTGTGGTTTGAGATACATTTTAAGATTCTAGTTTTGGTGGTGTTTAAATGCCTAAATGGACTAGCACCAAGATACTTGTCTTCATTAATTCAATTGTACACTCCTTCAAGGGCACTTAGATGTGCTGATAAGCTACTTTTTGCTGGTAGGTTAAAAACCAAGGGGGGCCCCAAACTCTGGAATAATTTGCATCTCCATGTTAGGGAGGCCACAACCATTTCTGTTTTTAAATCAAGCCTTAAAACCCATTTTTACTTTTTGGTCTTTAATATCATATGAGAGGGTTACAGTTGAAGTCAGAATTATTGGCCCCCCTGAATTATTAGAACGCTTGTTTATTTTTTCCCCGATTTCTGTTTAATGTAGAGAAGATTTTTTCAACACATTTTTATACTGTAATAACTCAATTCTATTTTATCTTTGCCATGATGACAGTACATAATATTTTACTAGATATTTTTCAAGACACTTCTATACAGCTTAAAGTGACATTTAAAGGCTTAACTAGGTTAATTAGGTTAACTAAGCAGGTTAGGGTAATTAGACAAGTTATTTTATAACGATGGTTTGTTCTGTAGACCATCGAGAAAAAATATAGCTTAAAGGGGCTTATAATTTTGACCTTAAAATTGTGTTTAAAAAATTTTAAACTGCTTTTATTCTAGCCAAAATAAAACAAATAAGACTTTCTTCAGATGAAAAAAAATATTATCAGACATACTGTGAAAATTTATTTGCTCTATTAAACATCGTTTGGAAAATATTTTAAAAAGAAGAAAAAAAATATCAAAGCAGGATAATACTTCTGACTTCAACTGCATGTCTGTTGTATTTGTCCTTTGTTTTAGATGGTGTATGTGTGTACAGTACTTTGGTAAGCACTTGTTTTTAATAAGCGCTTCATTAATAAACAGTGACTTGACTTGACTCTGCCTACCGGACATTTAAGGTACTGACTGCACTATATGTACAGTTCGGTTTTACTTTCTTTTTCCTTCAGCGCATACAGTCAAGGGCAAAACACGCACAAGGTTCTTTCGGTGACTGATTAAAACGTTGAAACCTTGGAAATATTTGTCCTATTACAAACAGGATAGAAGATATTGTGAGGTCTGAGGAACAATAGCCATTAAAGCCACTCAAATTATCAAACTGCTTTCTGGTGTTCTTTTCTGGAGTATCTCTTAAACCCTTTGCTCAAGAAACGCAAATTGCTTTTTGACAATATAACTCATATATTTAAATGCATAAGTGTCCATTTAGTACTATTTATTTAAAAAAAAAAAAACATTATTAATTTGATTATCATCAAATATCTAAATGAACATTTCCCTGTAATGGGTTGCGGCTGGAAGGACATCCACTGCGTAAAAAGCATGCCGGAATAGTTGACAGTTCACCACTGTGGCTGGCGACCCCTGCTATATAAGCTAAAGGAAAATGGACGAAGGAATGAACATTTTTGTTGCTTTAACATATTTTCTTCAGTTGTTTTAAGTTCTTTTGTAATTTTTTTTACCAGTATTATTGTTTAGTTTATATTTAAATATTTTCAGCTTTTGTATTTTAATTGCATCTAAATACATAACTTCTGTTCTTTTATTTATCAATTAACATTTTAATGCCTTCTTAAATTTCTATTAAACTGAAATAACATTATATTAAATGAATATAATCATATTATCAATCAAAATTTAAATCGTTTAATACATTTATTTAAAGATGACTCTGTGGCGCTGTGGTATAGGGCTGTTATCTCACAGCAAGAAGGTCCCTGTTTCGAGCCCCAGCTGGAGTTTGCATGTTTTTCCTGTGTTCGCGTGGGTTTTCTCTGGGTGCTCCTGTTTCCCCCCAGATTTAAAAGACATGGTACAGGTTAATTGGGAGAGCTAAATTGTCTGTAGTATATTTGGGTGAATCAGAGTGTACGGGTGTTTCCCAGTAATGGGTTGCAGCTGGAAGGGCATTCGCTATGTAAAACATATGCTGAATAAGTTGGTGGTTCATTCTGCAGTGGTGATACCATTTTAATAAAGAGACTAATCTGAAAAGAAAATGAATGAATGAAATTGAATTAAAATATCATCATAGGGTAATTGGTGTAAACATGCTTCCTAAAATCTCTTTTGAAAAATGCCCAGCATTTTTTACAGTGTAACTTATTATATATATATATATATATATATATATATATATATATATATATATATATATATATCTTAAAAGTGTAATTTTTTAATTTATTTTATTAAATTTTATTAAATTTTTATTATTTTGTGGATTATGCACATCCTTATTCGTTTTACATTTTAAGTTCAGCTTATTAAATACACAACAGTTTAACCTTTGAATGCAATCTCTTTTTTGATAATATTTGTACAGATGAATCAAGAAAACAGTATTCAACATATAAAGGAAGTTCAGACTGACCAGAATAATTTCAATGCAATTTCTTTATTGATAATATTTGTACAGATGAATCAAGACAACAGTATTAAACATATAAAGGAAGTTCAGACTGACTAGAATGATGATAGTGATTAATAAAAAGACCCACAGCAAGTTACCGAAATCAGATTATGAGTTAAATATTCAGACTGCTGCTTTAATTGGAGGTGACAGTCGTGTTGATCCAGGAGCGCTGCTGAGAGATGCGGGCATACACTCCTGGGAAACGGGTGTTACAAGTGTCGAGACCCCAGGACACAGAGCCCACCAGAGTCCAGACCCCTGAACGCTCACACACCAGAGGACCTCCGGAATCACCCTAGAGAAAACACACAGTCGATATTAATATTGACATTGATAAAGTAATGTGTGTATCTTAGGGCTGTCATTTTAATATGTTAATTTGATTAATTAGTAATGGGAAAAATAATGCGTTCATTAAAAATTTGAACAGAATTAATGTACCCCCCCTTTCTCTTAGATAATGATGCAACTGCTTACTGTGTGATGGAGACAATAGAATGCAGATATATGGATTTAAAGTTCATAAACTAATAGTGGAAAAAATGCCCCTGTATGAAGATTATATTTCATGTTTGTCATTAAATTATGACCATTTTATTTTCCCATCACAATGAGCAGTCAGTGGACATGAAAGCTGTTTTTGTCTTGAATTGTGTACATGTGATATTGACTATCTAAAACAGTTCAGTAAATAATAAGTTAATATTGTGTTATATTTTAAACAAAATGTCTCTTTTTGTTAGTTTTGCCAACAGAAATATTAGTACTGGGTTTCTCATAAACTCAGCAGAGATTCATTTCTCAATGAATCAAGTGAATAAATGATTCAAATGATCAGTTTACGTTGTTTAGAAGAATTCATTCATTCATTCATTTTCTTGTGGGCTTGGTCCCTTTATTAATCCGGGGTCGCCACAGCGGAAAGACTGCCAACTTATCCAGCAAGTTTTTACGCAGCGGATGCCCTTCCAGCTGCAACCCATCTCTGGGAAATGTTTAGAAGAATCAAATCAATAAATGACTCAAAAATAAGTCATTTACTTACATCTAGTGGTAGTTTAAGCAATTTAAGTTTTGTTTTGTTATTTATTAATTTTCCTTCGGCTTTTATGTCTTTATTTCTCCTTTATTCATACAAAATGAACCGCCAAATATTCCAGCAAATGTTTTATGCAGCGGATACCCTTTCAGCTGCAATGTTGAAGTTGAAGTCAGAATCATTAGACCCTTTTTGAATTTTTTTCTTTTTTAAATATTTCCCAAATGATGTTTAACAGAGCAAGGAAATTTCCACAGTATGTCTGATACATTTTTTTCTTCTGGTGAAAGTCTTATTTGTTTTATTTTGGCAGGAATAAAAGCAGTTTTACATTTTTTAAACACCATTTTAAGGAAAAAATTAATAGCCCCTTTAAGCTTTTTTTTTTCCGACTGTCTACAGAACAAACCAACGTTATACAATAACTTGTCTAATTACCCTAACCTGTCTAGTTAACCTAATTAATCTAGTTAAGTCTTTAAATGTCACTTTAAGACTTGAATAGACATGTTTTGCTATGATGACAATAAATAATATTTGACTAGATATTTTTCAAGACATAAGTATTCTCTCTGTTAAACAGAAATTGGGAAAAATGGGGGTGGGTTGGGGTGGCTAATAATTCAGGGGGGCTAATAATTTTGACTTCTATATATCTGTGTTTTTTAAAGATAAATGTCCGTAGGTGTGATTTATCCAGTACGTGGATAAATGCAGAGCTCCTCAATTAAAAAGGAAGAAAAAAAAAAAAACAAGTTCTAAAAGAGATCAAACCTCAGCCAGGTAATAAAAGTAACTCAAATGTAGCGTAATGCATTACTTACTATATAAAGTTATTAGGTAATGCAACTAGTTACATTTTTGGAAAGAAACTTAATAATGTAATGTTTTGGTTTCAAAAGTAACTTTTCCCAACATTGGGTATGAATGTAATGCAGTTGTAATGCATTTTACATTTAACACAATGACTTTACATGACTTTTTAGAGGATAATTTGTTATTCGCGATTTCTTCTTGATCTGTATTGATGTAGTCTACTGTACCCGACAGGATGAAGATCCAGATCCTCCTGCACAGATCATGGCGTCTGTAACTCTGTTTCGACCCCAGATCTGTCTGCAGTCGGCATGACTAACTAAGGGGACGCTTGTTTGCTGCAGGATACGAGGACTCGCTGAAAACACACAAAAAAAAAACACCATAATCAGGTGTGTGTGTGTTTTAATTTAAAAAGCCCATATTATGGGTTTTTGAAAATTCCCCTCCATGTAGTGTGTAACAGAGCGCTAAGTGAAGTGAAGTATCCAGCTAAGGCTTAAATCTGTAAGAATACAGTGTTTAAAACGGTTGATTCATCTATAAAAGAGTCGACTCATAGTGCTTCAAACGAGTCGCCTTGATACCGACTCATTAGGTGTTTCGCCATGACGTACGAACGAAACCAAGTTATTCACGTGCACGCGCAAACCCGGGAGATTTCAAACCTGAGGCCCCGCCCTCTGACGCAGAAACCCAGACACACACACACACCCACAAACACACGCACACCCACAAACACACGCACACAAACATGCCGGTCGATTGAAGTAACACTGCAGATGGACATTATATTGAGTCTCTACCCAAAGATGAAACATCAGCATTATAACCAAGCAGTTGGAAACTTCTGGAAGCTACATGCTACAAAGAATACTTCATCTGAGTTTGTTAAAGGAAGGATCAGTAAAGAGTAACTGATGGACGTCAGGATGGGTTTCTTCCATTTCTCAAGTGTAAGTACGTGCGGTTAAAGTTGTTGCCTCGTTTACTCTAGCTTGCAAATGTATTTAGTTGTGATTTGTTACTTGTAACCGCGTGTACTGTATCAGGTTAACTGGATATATTATCTTATCGCGTGCAAAGTCACGTTAAAAACGCGACGCGTGCTGTTTGTTTATGGAGCTCCGTGCTAGAGTTCTGCTCCCGCGATTTATTCGGAAATTTATTCCCGTGCCGCAGAAATCTGGCGCGGGGACAGCCGCGGGAATAAATTTCCGAATAAATCGCGGGAGCGGTCGGTAACGGGTTTAATTTGGGACGGGAGCGGGCTGTCTAGCAATATCACGGATATTGCTATGCGAATTAGAAAGAGAGAGTCTGCGTGGTGCTTGTGTGTGTGTTAGTGCGCACGCGCGCGTATGAGAGAGAGCGAGAGAGAGAGAGAGAGCGAACGAACGAACGAGCTTTGTGTGCTTTGTGCTGTGTGTGTGTGTTTATACAGACAGCTTGGCTGTCTGGACTGTATACTGGGTGATTTTTGGTTGTGTTCTCCGCTCTAGCGGGACCGGGCGCGGCGGGCAGAAAACGGAGCGGGTTCTCAGGCTAAAACCTGGCGGGTGCGGGCGGAAGCGGGAGCGTTGTCATCCGGAGGTGTGTGTGTGTGTGTTTTTGTGTGTGTGTGGTATGGCGAGTACACGACTGTCTCCTTCATTCGGTTATCCGTGGCACTATCCACTCGCCATAGTGTGGCAGCTAAAATCCACGTCTACACTATCGAGCGTGTATGAACTGTGATTACTTTTTAAATTGCTGATTAGCTATTGGCCATTTCCCTCTCTGACTGAAGGCAGTCGACCAATCGCGACAGACTGTCATCGGTCCAATCAGCGCAGATTAGCTCCGCGCTAAGGAGGGGTTTGGGAACAAATGAATCACTGGACGATTCATACAGGAGTCGCTGGGATAATTAGCTAAAAATAAATGCAGATTATAAGACCATGAAAGTGTTTTTTGACCTTGCATGCATATTAGACTGTTGTTGGAGACCCTTACAACCAGGATATGACCCTATTTCATGTATAATATGGGCTCTTTAACTCTTCATTCAAAAGGGATATTAACAGTACAAAACTGCCTACCAATCAACCATACAGTTTGTGTTTCAGGAAAGGAGAACACCAGACCACCATAATAAATTAATTCTCCCCACAAAAAGGGAAATTACAAGATTGCCATACATACTACAGAACAAATGAAAGCATAAGAATATTCACCCATCACTAAATTGACTTGATAAATGACTAAATAACATTGCCGCCACCTAGTGGCAGTTTTATGGAAGTAAAATTTCACCAAAAAAAGATTACCTGATTCTATATCAATTAAACAAGAAATTAACATTCTGTCATAATTTATTTATCTTCTAGCCATTTTAAACTTGTATGGATTTCTCTCATTTGCACAAAAAAAAATTATAAATTCATAACAAAATGGTTTTGGAGCTGCAGTAGACACTTAACATATCTAAACACCAGTTTGGATAGAGCTTTTACAGCCTTCTGATGATGTTCTTGTTTGCTTTATATTTCCAATATGTGAAGAAATTTATGCTTTCAAAGGTGAAAGTGCATGATCAATATGTGCTTGTGACAATGAAGTAATACAATAAAAAAAATAAGTGAGAAAAAAAACTCATGCAGTTTCTACTGAAAGTTGATTCCATATTGTTCCATTAAGCCTTCCTTATTATTAAATTAAAAACGTCACTGTACAAAAAAAAATTTTAAACATGCTTTTCCTATTCCTTAAAAATGTGTTTCAATTCTGGCACAATTTGTAGTTTTAACACTATGTACACTGTAAAAATAATTATAAATATCCCAGTTTATTTATGCTTTTGAATTGCATTATGGACCTTGCTCCTTCTTTCAGCATAAAGTGACTTTTATTAACATTTTTAATAGTTTAAAGTGATATATTTTGTTGTATATTATTGTACAACCATCTTTAAAAGGGGTGGTTCAGAGTGTATTTTTAAGGCTTGGTTGTGTTTATGGGATGCAAAGCAATGTGTGCTCATGATTCTTTTGTAGAAAACCACGTTGCTTTTTCAAATATCTTACTTTAATTATATACAGCTACTCAGCTAACATGAAAATGACTGATATAATTCCTAGTTCCTTTGAAGACCCGCCCTCAAGAGGTTCTAATTGGTCAGCTAATATAATGTGCTGTGATTCGGAAATCCACGTCACTAGGAAGTGCTTTGTTATAACATTACTTCGCCTCTGGCCATGCCCCATCGCTGTGCAGAGTGTATGTGCGTAATCCTAAGGGTTTATGACATCATTAACCTGGATGTATTTTTTTGTAGTCCCCGAACTTTGTTTGCTGTAGGCTTTGCTAAGTTAACTCTGTAAAAGTCTCCCTTTACATTGAACTTCGATCGTCTTACATTCAGAGATGTTGTTTATGTTTACAAAGTTACATTGCACATTAATTAAAGTTTAAAATATGATATCGTAGTGACCACCTCTTTAATAAACCGCTAGTGTATTTTCAGTTATTTTACAGATGTATTTCTCTCTATATTATTTCTTATACATTATATTATTTCAAACTACTAACATATCAATAAATGTCACTTTGAACTAAACTGTGGAGGTGAATTTTGAACATCAAAAGTGGACAGAGCAGAGATCAGCATCCTATAATGCAATTCACAACCAGAATTAAACAGAAAACACAAAATATGTAAACTGTTAACAGATTTATTTTTGTTTTTTTACAGTGTTGCGTATGTTAAAATCAGCAAATGTGAGATATTTAAAAGAACAGAATTTAGCTTTAATTATTCTGTTTTCCAGGTGACTCACATGTGCTGGCGGTTCTGCCCCATCCAGTGGTGAAGCAGCGGGTTCCAGACTGGATGTTGATGGCTGATGGAGCCAGACATACAGGAGAGACCCGAGCGGTCAGAGTGACTGGAGACGCAAGTTTCAGCAGTGCGATGTCATTGTTGAGGGTTGTGCGGCTGAAAAGAGGATGCGTGACCACCTGCACATTAAACATGGAGGAATGCTCACTAATGAAAGAAGACTTTATAAGGTAAAATACAAAATAGCCTGAATATATTTTGAATGTTGTATTCCCTTTGCTGAAGTTTACACGTGTATGCATCAAAATATGTAAAAGAAATACTGATCATTCTGCAATTTATTACATTTTAAATGATTAAAAACAAATTACTTATAAATAGGTAAAACATAGTTGTGAAGCATGAAAGATAATACAAATACTTTGTGTTTTGGGGTGTTGCACTGTAATTTACCTGTATCTTTTCATATTTAATGGGTTGAATTGATTTTTATTTTAGTTTATAATTATTTTAGTTTAACAGTCCTTATCAAATTTCACTTTTTTTAATTTATTTGGATGTTTATGGATGTATATTTTTTATATACAATCCATCAATTAAAACAACACTGTTACAATTAAAACCATCACATTAGTAAACTAAGAAACATTAGTAAAAAAAACATTTCACTTAGGTAATATAGTATTATATAACAACATGTAAACAAATAAAATGAAACAGAGATTAATAGAATATCTAGGCCACAATTCGCATGAAATCTTATCTATGAGCTTATTGATATTCAATGATCGTTTGTGTAATGATGGTTGTTGCTTTAAAAAACTGTAGTTAAAATTATTTATTGGATAGAAACTGATATATATATATATATATATATATAAATGTATTTTTAAGTTACATTTCTTTTCCACTGAGACCATTACCTTGGACACTAGTTTCACTTGGATGGGCTCTGCATTGGAACCACGATCATGTTCTCCAAGAACAACACGATGATATCCAACTCTAAAAACAGAGAGATAAAAGATAAAACATTATCAAAACACACAAAGAGAGCTGAAAGAGCTTCTGTTAAAGACTACTGTATGTGATGTTTTGGTCAGATTGAAGTTTCACTTACACAACGCTGCAGTGAGCAGCAGTGAGAACCCAGTTCCGGTTAATCAGAGATCCTCCGCAGAAATGGACACCATTAGGGAGCTGTTTTAAAGGTAAAAGCATTGAAAACTTGACATTTACTCTCAAATTAAAGAAGGTAATTTCTGATGGAAAAGCAGTAGAAATGTACCTGCAGAGAGACCTGCCAGGGCCAAGAGCCAGATATGGCGTTCTGGCCATTCACAATCCTGCTTCCGATTATCTGTGGTTTAATAGCAGGAACTCCACAACCTGTTAATGAAAAACAGAAGATCATCTGTTACGTTACGTTTCACATTTTATAATTATACAATACTGTGCAAAAGCCACTAGTGTTTTCACTAATAAAAGATGATTTTTATTTTTTTCATTTTGGTGTAGTGTGTCTGTAAAAAATATCAATGTACATTTCCAAACGTTTTTTTTCCCTATTAAATGTAATAATACAGTGAGATTATTTATACGCACAAAGGGACAGAAAGCTCCACAGAGATCTGATCTCTCCACCACCATGAAAAAACACAACAAACTGAAAGACTAAATACAAAAGATTTCCAAGACCCTTCAAGAAACCTGCCTGCAGAGCTACAGTACTATAAAGTATGGTAACAAATGCTGTAATATGATTATGCTTTAAACAATGATACCATAAGTAGATGTTATTTATTATTAACTTCTACTAAATAAATTGAATCAACATTTGCTGTGTAACCACTCTTTAAAATTGCTTTTTTGAAGGTAAAGAGCACATATATTTATGTACTTTGCAGCTTTCTTGAAGAATCCTGGATATGCTGCCACAGTAGTTTTGGATTTAGTCTGTCTTAGTTTTGTTCTTTCTTCATTTTTTTTTCTTCATCATGATCTGTGTGTGGAGCTCTGGCTGCCGTCAGACTCTTCTGCATACAAAGTATCACTGAAGTATTACTATCAGCAGAAGAAAGAATGTTTGGAAAACATAACTAATATTTCTTACTGACACACTACTCCAAAAGAAATTATGGTCACACTTTACAATAACGTTCCATTAGTTAATGTTACTTAATGTCTTTCTACTTTGTGAAGCTACTTTTTGAAGCTTACCATAAGAAAGGCAAGAGTGACTAAAGTGGATGAGACAGAGGGAGTGGGCGATGTAAACATGACTGGTTACACGGGATCATAAACTGCGTTTGAGTCGATCGGATTACATGTAATTTACACACATTCCCTTAGAAATTTCTTTTAGTCTACTTCCGACCATGGTTTACTATACAGGCTTCTCTGATCTTTCAATCTAATACCGCAATGAAAAAAGTTAATGATCATGTCCTTTTTTTGTCAACATTTGTACAGTTAGAACTAAAACAGTTTATTTATAATGCTGTATGCATGGAGATTTATATTATTTTTAAAAATTTACTATTTCCTATTACAGAATTTAAACTGTTTTACTGTTTTTACTTCATTTAAATTAGACTGTTGTCTTCATTAAAATTAGTTTAACAAATATTTTAACATCAAAATTATTTACACTGGGTGATTTATGTATAAAATTTTAACGAAAAGCATCAGGAATTTATAAAAAAGTATTTTTAAAAGTTGATACTAAAAGTTTTATAGGCTGTAATTGCACCTGTATATGTTTTCTTTCTTTTTTGTGCATAGAATACATGTATTAAAAGCATTAATGACTATCCATGAAAGAAAATATCCACAATACTCAATACACAATAATAAAAAAACTAAGAAACACGGAAAACAAGGGATATTTTAAAGAACAGGAAGTTTTGAAGATAATGAAGCAACAAAAATAAAGGCTAAAATAGTAAAATATATTAAGTATTTATTATAGCAAAAGGAAAATAAATGTTTTGGACAAACCTAAGTGTTAACTGCAACCTTTATTTTTGTAACGATTTAGGCCACATTTTTAAAATGTTTTTAGAGTTGATGAATGGACATTAATGGCAGTGGTTGTTCTCGATCTAAAAGCAGCTGTGAGTGCTGTATATTTGTGTCAGGATGATGATACACAGATTTTTTAACAGTGTTGTTGATACTGCTTGGCTACTTTCCTGCTGAAAATTGGCAAAAAATTTTAAGTGTTAATTAAGTGTTGCCTAAACAACTGACTTTTTCATTGGTGAAATTACTAGTTGCCTAAGATTGTTAAACAGTATTATACTAGTAAAGAAGACACTTACCCAGAGCAGAGGCCACCAGAGCAAAGCAGGTTATGGTGAAGATCATGATGAGTTTGACTTGGTGTTGAATCTTACTGGTGAATCTACAGCTGCTCTCTCTTGCTTTTATATCATATCCAGATTATAAGCTTGGACATGATCAGAAGTTTAAATGACCTCACAGTATTATTACTTAAATGTTGAAATCTATTAGAGCTTTAGTTAATCTGCATCTCTATTGTTATGAGCTCATGTCTTATGTACAAAGAGGAAGATTTCGTTATTCTTTGACGTGGTTTCTGACTATTTCCTTGAGAGCCATCATGATTTAAGCTCTGCTATTGTGTTTTATAAAAGGTTTTTGTTGCTGTGGTGAAAGTTCATACAATATATCATGCAAACTGCTTCCTTATTGAAGTACTTTCTAAAAGTGTTTTAGCAATGCTAGCACTAAATGTGCTGCTTTCCTCGTTCATTTTAATTCTGTTATTGCTCATGTCATAAATATGCCACGCTCATGTCATTCGTAACACAAACTAAGTTTTCAATGAAATCTGAGAGCTCCATTGTTCTCCATAGACAGCAAAGTTTCTGACACATTCAAGTACTCAAACATCTTCAAAAAGACCTACTGTAATACTGGAACCGGAATATAATTAAACAAGGAGGATTCTTTTTTTACATGTAAAACACAAATAACAAATATTATTCAACAATTTATTCTCCTCTGTGTCTTTAAACTGCAAACATCAGTCGATATTCCAATGTTTTACCCACCATTTTGTTCAAACAACCTAGCATTATATGGTTTGACCTTGATGGGTTCATCATTGGATTCATGAATTGTAGAAGAATATCATGGTAATTAATTAAAGAACATAAAAACTAAATTAGATTAAATAAACAGTCTAAAAATGCTGACTTGTTTTAATCCAGTTTTGGTCAGATATTTACTAAGTAAATTGTTAGGTATTGGAAGAAAATTAACCCAACAGAAGTTTGTTCATATTTGACCCAATACTATGCTGAAACAACCTAGCACTGTTTGTGTAAATGAAAGAACAAATATTAACCATACCAGGGCCGACCCATGCCTTCAGGGGGCCCTAAGCAGGATTTTATTTGGGGCCTCCTTGGTGCAAACAGTATGACAAATTATCGTCAATCCTTGATAATTCGCACACTATAAATTTAAAACACACATTATCGATTTTATCCACTGTAGCTGTGTTGCTTATACATCATAAAATATATGTTTTAAGACAATTCTAAATATTATTCTGCAGAAACAACTTCCTATTGTTCCAACTTTTTATATGACTACTTGCCACAAATCTAAATAATTAGACACAAAACATTAATATGGGCTGGCAGAAACAAAAGCAGCAGGAAGTAGCCAATAACATACTGATTTTTATTATTATTCAAGACGCTGCCAAACAGTCAAACATACTGTAGTGACAATAAAGATACATTTTTTTAAAAATTGGATATAAATGTTAACACTGAAAAAAATTATATTGTATTTTGTAGTTCTAATAACTTTAAACATCTATTTAAATAAAATTAAATTAAATCAGGAAGCATTTTTTAGACATACTCGCATATCAATCAAATTACTAAATATGTACAAAAATTGTTCAGTTTTCAGAAATAATTCTAAATTAAGTGATTTTTTCTTGCAAAACAAATTAATCTCCGATGAGATAAGTAAAATAATCTTATTTAAAACCTATAATATTTTTTATTTACCCTAATTGGCAGATTATTGAGCTTTTTTAGTAAAAAATTCACATCATTTTAACAAAATCTGTCTAGAAAATGTTATTGGTTTAAGAATTTTTAGATATTTGGAATAAAAATCACACAAAAACTATAAAAAAGAAAATCATTTTTGCAGTGTGTTTACCAACTGTCAATTGTATAAATCAGAAGCTTATTTTTTTATCACCAAACTCATGAAAAAGCATTTTGCTGCTGTTCCGGGCACTGCTGCTTCAATCACGATATCAGTGATTCTGCGATATCTTGATAGATCACAAGAAAGCCAGCCACAATATATCACAATTTTGGTAATTGAAGGGGGAAAATGCATCAAAAATGTATAATGAATTTCTTTTATAAACACACATTTATAGAATTGCAACAATGTAAAACAAGTGCACATCTGTCAAACAAGCTTAAAAATGTTGATTTGCAGAGAGGAGTTTATGACTGAAGAGAGCACATCTCTATCACAGCAGCAAAATCTCAATTTAGTGGAATATGCATTTAAGAAAAAACTGCCAAAATAGTAATTTATTGCTTTCTAATTTTATGTAAACTTAAAACACTTATTACAACTTGACAAACTAATTGTATGTAAACATGGAAACATTTTATGCTAAGCCCTGGTTTATTTTTAATTAAAAAATATGTATTCCCACAATTCCCAAAAAAACTGATCAGAATGCTCTGAGAAGTGAGCACAGACTCCTCTGAGCACGTATGTTTTCAGCAGTGGAGAACGTTCGAGATTACAGAAGTAACCCTTCGTTCCCCGAGGAGGGGAATGGAAGTGCCATAGAGTGGATTGATTGAAATCCACGAATGGGAGGATTCGGATCAGAAGCCGCTTGTCTGGAGAGTATTGAACGGGCCAATGAATGAAAATGAATTGGCAGCGTAAGCTTGCGCAGGTGTGCTGCATCGCCAATTATCCCAGCATATAAGCACACCTGAAGCGAGCAAACGCCATCCTTTTAAGCTGAAGAGACTTTCAAACAGCTAAGGGACACTCATTATGGCGACGGAGTATGGCACTTCTGTTCCCCTCCTCGGGGAACGAAGGGTTACTTCTGTAACCTCGAACGTTCCCCTTCGGTTGGGGAACTTCAGTGCCATAGAGTGGATTGATTGAAATCCACGAATGGAGAAGTATGGAAAGCGCCATAATGACTGCACCTTACCAACGCCCCCGATGAGGGGATAGTCAAGCAAGCGTGACGCACCCACATCATGGGAGGCGCGGTCCTCCAACGTGTCCCTGGCCCTAATTTATCCTACTTCAACAGAAGTCTTATGGATTTAGATATATTTTTTGGGAGTCGTGAACATCTAGATAATTCTAGGAAAATACAACAGTACGTTGGGAAGCGTGCAATCCCGATAGGGAGGACGCTGCGGAGGCCATCCGTTACCCAAGGGGGGATAGATGGCAGGATTTACATATGGACTAGCCCTATAAAGGGGGAGTATGCATAGCAACAAAGTGGTTAGCAGAGAGGGAAGACACGGGTCCGCCCACGGGGGGACTTAACCGTGGCGGAATAAGCATATGGGATCACCTAGTGGGGATCACGCATAGCAGGCACCTATACCCAAAACGCGGGCTGACCAGCGGGCAGACCTACAACGTAGTGGGCCAGCAAGTGACTCCTCCGCTGAGTCAGTGCTGGGGGCCACGGAGGAATCTGCAGGGTTACCTAATACCCTTCACCAAAGGGTTACCTAATACCCTTGAGGAAACCGGCTCCACTCGCAGATTGTAAAACCTTGCAAATGTGTTGGGTGTCGCCCAGCCCGCAGCTCTACAGATGTCTGTTAGAGAGGCGCTTCCCTGCTGCCGACCGCCATAACAGACAAAGAGCTGCTCAGATGATCTAAAATTCTGAGTACGGTCCACATAAATGCGCAGAGCGCGAACTGAACAAAGTAAAGAAAGGGCTGGGTCTGCCTCCTCAGGGGGCAGCGCTTGCAGGTTCACTACCTGATCTTTAAAGGGGGTGGTAGGAACCTTGGACACATAACCCGGGCGGGGTCACAGGATGACATGAGAGTAATCCGGCCCGAATTCCAGGCACGAGTCACTGACCGAAAATGCCTCCAGGTCCCCGACCCTCTTGATGGAGGCCAACGCAACCAGCAGAGCTGTCTTCAGGGACAGAAATCTTAGAGATACTGATTCGAGAGGCTCAAAGGGATCGGCTCGCAAACTCGTGAGAACGAGGGCGAGATCCCAAGAGGGCATGAGAGGGGGGTGAGATGGATTAATTCGCCTAGCACCCCTAAGGAACCGGATGATGAGGTTATGCTTTCCCATGGTGCCGCCAGCTACCGCGTTATGATAAGCGAACATGGCGGCCACGTAAACCTTGAGTGTGGAGGGCGACAGCCTACTGTCCAACTTCTCTTGAAGGAAAGAGAGCACAACACTAATCTGGCAATTTCGGGGGTCTTCTCTGCGAGAGACGCACCATTCAGTGAATAGACTCCACTTCAGGGCGTAGGCGGGCCTCGTGGAGGGGGCTCTAGCCTAAGTGATGGTATTAACCACCGCAGTCGGTAGGTTACCTAAGTCTTCCTCGCGTCTAAGGACCACACGTGGAGGTTTCAAAGATCGGGGCGAGGGTGCCAGATGGTGCCCTGTCCCTGAGAGAGTAGGTCCTCTCTCAAAGGGATCCGCCATGGGAGGGCCGTCGCGAGGAGTGAGAGCTCTGATATCCAGGTCCGGTTGGGCCAAAGGGGCGCAACTAGCAGAACCTGTTCCTCGTCCTCCCTGACCTTGCAAAGTAACTGCGCGAGCAGGCTCACTGGGGGAAACGCATACCTGCGCATGCCCCGAGGCCAGCTGTGGGCCAGTGCATCCGTGCCGAGAGAGCCCTCGGTCAGAGAAAAAAACAACTGGCAATGAGCGTTCTCGGGGAAAGCAAACAGATCGATCTGGGCCTCCCCGAATCGCGCCCATATCAGCTGAACAGACTCGGGGTGGAGTCTCCATTCTCCAGGGCGTAACAGCTGTCGTGAGAGCACATCGGCTGCACGATTGAGCGTGCCTGGAACGTGAATGGCGCGCAGCGATTTCAGCCGCGGGTGACTCCAAAGGAGCAGACGGCGGGCGAGCTGAGACATGCGGCGAGAGCGCATACCCCCCATGCGGTTGATATACGCTGCCAACAGCTCTAGGCGATTGATATTGCAATGCAACTGGGCACCCTTCCACAGGCCCGCAGCCGCATGCCCGCGACACACAGCCCCCAACCCGTGTTGGAAGCATCTGTTGACACAACAACATGGCTGGATGCCTGTCCTAGAGGAACACTGGCCTGTAGGAAAGAGGGGTCGTTCCAAGGGCTGAGGGCGCTGCGATACAGCGCAGTAACAGAGACCCGGTGTGTGCCCGCGTGCCATGCGCGTCTTGGGACCCGATCGTGAAGCCAGTGCTGAAGTGGTCTCATATGGAGCAATCCGAGCGGCGTGACGGCGGCTGCGGATGCCATATGCCCCAGGAGCCTCTGAAAGAACTACAGTGGGACCACTAGATTGCTGTCGAGCTCCCTCAGACAGTTCAGCAACAGGCGAGCGCGTTCCTCGGAGAGGTGCGCTACCATGGTGATCGAGTCCAGCTCCATCCCGTGAAAAGAGATCCTCTGCACGGGGGCGAGTTTGCTCTTTTCTCGGTTGACCTGAAGCCCCAGTAGGCGTAGATGC